CAGCCACAACAGTGTGAATTCCTCAGGGAGGTGCCAGTCTCATCCTCTTGTAGCTCCCACATTCCTCCGACGAGCTAAGAAAATGTTTATCTCTCTGAGCCTGGCCTTCATAATTCCATTCCATCACATCTACCATCCCTATCTGAAGATGTGGAAGACTGAACATTGGACCTTCCACATACAAACCCAGAGCCATACCCTTGACCTCTGATCCCTCCCATTGGCCCTACCAGGAGCCAATCAAAGGAAGAGTTTATTCTTCAAGCCCATTAAACAGAAAGAATAATGAAAGCTACAACATGCAACAGGTTGGAGGATGATTCAAGGGGTTCCTAACTGTCTAAGAAAGGAATTGTAATGGTATGTGAGAATGACCTTGAGAGACAAGGGGAAGAGATACTGCCTAGGGAATGATCAGATAAAAGGGAGAGAAGCCCACAGCTGAATAATGGGAAGAGAAAGAAAGAATCCGCCCTAACTTATCAGGTGTAAAAAGAGACAGCGGGAGATTTGTACCTTCAGGCTTGCAAGATTCTGTTAACGTAGCCTTACAATAAAGTAGAATTGGCTCATCTGGTTGTGTTTCCTGTCTGGTCTACCTGTCAGGGCTGACAGGAATGGGCACATTTTTCTAGCCCTTACAACCACACAGGATAGCCCTGGGTACAAAAAAGTAGGGAGAAACCCCTGGAAGGTCCTGTGAGAGGTACTTAGACTCAGCTTCAGTAGGGAATAAGGAATTTAATCAACTATCTCAGAGAAGAAGCTGATTGGAAGCAAAACATCCAAGAGAAGAACTTGTAATATTATTTTTTTTCACCCTAGGTTGCAGAGTTGAATCTAGAAGCCAGATTGTCAGAGCAAAGGAAGGTGGGAGAGGCAGAGATTTGGGTCAGGGCAAAACAAAAGAACAGGATCCAGAAAGGGGTACAAAACCCCAGCCAAGGGTAAATATCATCAATTCCTTTTTTGTAAAACAGCCGTCTTGGCTTGAGAAAGTTCATGTTGAGGTCTCTTGTGGTGGTTTTTTGCCTCCTCTCCAAAATATTAAATACCTTGGCAGGGTCTCTGGAAAGAACACTGTGAAAATATGCTATCCCACATGGATTCAAATTGCAAGACACGGTGTCCCCAAAAGAATGGGTCATGCTCTTATCAGTTGCCAGTTCATTTTGCAAAGCAGCCAGACTGGGAAATTCAATACGATGGCCTCTTTTTAGATGGTTGCAAAGCTTTTTTGCCCTGTGATTGCTTCCTTGGTAGCATTTTAATCTGGAATTGCACCCTTCGTTTACTCACTCCATTCCGAACATTTCAGATTATAATACGTTCCCTCTTATGTTTGTTCAGACTTGATTTACCGTCACCTTTTTGCATAAATGTAGTTTCAACATCATCTTATCCAGGATGAATTGGCAGAGCCCCGGTGAGGCTTCTCAGGGCATTATGCCTTGAATTAGAAGGCTCCTCTTGATAGTTTCTGACCTTTAGTATTGCTTCCTGTTCAGCAGGGATGCAACAGATTCTGGATTAGTCAGTTCCTGTTTCTGGGAAGTGATGATAATCACTACTTTGTTTTTTAAGAAGAAGATTATTTTGCAATAAAAAGAAAAGGTGAGAGGATTGGTAAATGAAATTTCTCCTGGGGGCCACCTTAAGGTTGAGGTATGCTTAGAAACTTTCTTAGGTAGCACCCTATGAGTTTATTTGACTTTGGTTTTACTTCTTGTCTTTTAGCCTTTTTGACAGCTTACAGTCTCTCGGTCAAAAAACATTGCTTCTGGGAGAACAAAATAATGTTCAGAATCATACGGCTTCCCTAAATAAACAAGTGAGTTATAAATACTGTTTTGTTTTTTTTCTCTATCATAGTTTTCATTTTACAAAGCTGAGAAGCATATGGACATGGTTCTTCCCAGTGGAAACCAAGTTAACACAGATAATTTATTTATTTTTTTGGCTTCTCTCTTTACTGCCTCTGCAATCTGGCATCATATTATGGTTCTTTCTTCATAGCTGTTTATATGTTTTCTAAGCATCCCACCTTTCTTCAATGTGTTGATCTCTAAAATGTCTCCTAATTCCATTGTTACCCATTTAGGTTCTCCAGAGAGCCCTGGAAGAGATCCCTAAGTCTTCCTTTAACATAATTCAATTTGGTTTGGATTCAAAGCATGTCACAACTGACCTCCTTGCAGAATCCAGTTCAAAGGTAAACAGATCTTCCCAATCTTCTACAACAAAGGTGGGCAGTGGAGATCTAGAATACCTTTCTCCTACCAGAATTCTTAATTATGGCCTTGTTTGCTAGGCAGTTTGGAGAGCTGGAATCCATATACCTAGAGAGAGACCAGATTGTGGAAGTCAGATTTACAGGTAGACCTCTTTGTGATTTTTGATAGGTAAAGAAACATTTTGGAATCCTGGTTTTCTTATTTAACAGCAGCGACAATAAAATAGTAGCCAACCACAGAGTTAAGCTTCTAACGAAAAAGCTTGTAGGTGTCTGTCCCAGGATTTATGGTTATAGAAGGAAGCGCTCTGAGACCAGTTCTCATACAGAAATCCCTGGTTGAGTATAAATTCAGGTGAACATTTGTCCTTAATGTTAAGGTTGTTCTCTTGTTCTCGCAAACATTCTGCACCTAACATTCATTGGTGGAATTGTAAGGAAAGGTTGGATGAGGTGATAGGTTCAGCTTGAGAGCTGTCATATGAGGCCACTCAAGGGCTTCCACAAAGTAGCAGGCAAGAATTTGTTCACTGGTGTCCTCAAAGTGGGATTTGATGCAGTGGTTTGGAGGTGCAGAGGCCTACAAGTCTACTCTCTGCGAGGGAGGCTGTAGCTCTAAACTTACTCTGACTTCTTGCAAAACTAAATAGGGTACCAGTAGGCATAGTCTCCTTCAGCCTTGACCCACCCTTCCCATCTCTCAGCTGCTTTTTCCCCACTCTGAGCCAATAGATGTGGAGGCCTAGAGATTTATCAGTAGATCTTCCTCTACCTTCTACTCCTCCTTGGAATCACCCCCACCAGCTCTCTTGTTGATTTACGCATTGCACTAAGCTTTAATTCAGTTTGGTTTGGACTTAAGGGTGGTGTGTGAGCCTAGCCAGTGTGGTTTGCAAACCTGATTTTATGGCTTTTCCAGATGAGGGTTGCTCATAATACTTGCTCCTCTATGACTGAGAGACGAAAAACAGTTGATAAGTTTTGTTGGTTTCATTTCTGAAATCCAGCCTTCTTTTCCTAGATGAGGGCCCAGCTTTCTGACATGCTGACCGTCTACGCAGGCCCTTTTACCAAAGACGTTTGCCTGAAGACTGTGAAGAAAGCTTTTAGGAAGTGCGGCCACGTTCGGTCAATCCAGATCATTTCAGAAACGTTTAAGGCAAGTAGCCAAACAATTTTGCTGCAGTTGGGTAGGCAGTACAAATCCCAGGGGGATCTAGGCTGCTACATCTCACCACCACCACCACCACCACCACCACCACCACCACACACACACCTCTGTGCAATATTCACTTTCCTAAAATAGTTGCTTGAATTAAAGTTCTTCACCAGTCTGATACAGCTTTTAAGCCAAATCACCCATTTAGATAAAACATATGCATATCTGCTTGTTTTAAACTTTTACATGTAGCACTGGTGTGTATATACAGGAGAGGGTGTGATCAGGATTATGGTGCGGGCAGAAATTTGTTCCTTTCCTTCTGAAAAATTCCCCATCCTTCGATCGTCCCGTGCCAAAGCTGTTCTTTGCGTCAGTTGAAAAATGATCCCTTTCTGGCCAGTTGCCTCCAAGGTTACAGGTTATATGCTATGTCAGGGTGCAACCATCTCCATCTTGCCCTGAACTGGTCATTTTGATGGAAAAACAGAAGGTGCCCAACATTCAACCAGCAGGATTTGGGGCAATTGCATGATCAAGGAGGCATCCAAAACTCGGGAAAGCACCAGACCCCTCATTTGTCTGCTGGGGGCCACTGTATCTGACCTGAAGTGCCCTTGTTGTCTTCCCTGAAGCCCCATCTCTGTATCCAGTATGAAGTGCTGGAAGCTGTCCAGCTTGCCTTGAAGGACCTGAACGGAGCAGAAGTTGGAGGATCCACCATCAGGGTAGGCTTACGGCTTGCCTTTAAACTCCAGGGTTGGGAGAGAGCATAGGAGTGTGGTCTGCAGAAACCCTGAGCTCCTCATTTCTCTTTTGAAAATATTGTCTAAAGTGCCTTCGCTGTGATTTAAATCAGATTTTCCCAACTGGATGCCCTCCCAAAGCGTTGGGCTGCAATTCACAATACACGTGTTGTTACTTGGAATAATAATTATATTCTTTCTGTTATTCTAGTTCGTTTTAAGGAAAGGTAAGTTTCTAGAAGATGATACTTCTTATCTTCTATAAATGTAATAAATACATTATGTTTATATTTATTCTTTTTTGTACTGGTTCCCTCCAGAAGGGAAAGTAGCATCGATATAACCTAGAAGAAGAGCTTAATATTAAACAATATCCCTGACAATCATTGTTTATGCAAAACCATGGTTAAATAAACCACTGTTTAACATGTTATATGACCTCACCAAATTGTGGCTTATTCAACAAATGTTGTGGGTGAAACAAGACAAAGGTCGCATCTCACCCGATGCAGCAGGAAGGGCCTCTAGTAGCATCTGCAAACCAACCAACCGGCTTGTCCTGCAATTTCGGTTTTCCGCCTGTAAGGTTCAAAGGCCCATCGCTGAGATGACCCTTGATTGCGAGGTGCTGGTGAAAGAGCTGGAAAGGGATCTGGAAAATGAAGGCATCCTTTACGTGGCCGGGTTGAGGAAATGCCAAGGTGAGACAGAGCTGCAAGAACAGTTGGGCCATTTGAAAGATGTACGTTCCATTTTTTGGCCAAGGGATCTCCAGACTGGCAGACAGAGGAATTACTGCTTTCTGAGTAAGTATGACCATAAATAAGTTCTCCAACAAAATGTTGTAGCATGGGATACCCTTTGGGTCAAGATTCTAAGTTCTCCATTCTGACTTTCCTCTCCCTTATTTTCTCTTTTTGCCCTTAAAAATCCTTCCCGTTTGACAGCACACTCACTCTTGCTTCCTTTTGGGAGGACTTTTCTTCATCCCAACCATACATACACACACATGCAGCCATCACAGTAAGTGACTATGCAGAGCACAGAAGTAAAAAATAGTACAGGTAGTTCTTGAGTTACGACCATTCATTCAGTGACCGTTCGAAGTTACGGCGGTGCTGAACAAAGGGTACTTACGCCCAGTCCCCAAAATTACGGCCGTTGCAGCAACCCCACAGTCATGTGATCAAAAGTCAGGCACTTGGCAGTCTGCCCACACTTACGGCCACAGGGACGCTTCAACCCCCACCTATCTCCCCGCATCTCTGCTGTTTTATCTCCCTGCACTCTGCAGCCCCTGCTCCCCTCAGGTGACCTTCACCATCTTCTTGCTCCCACTGCTGACAAGCATGCCCGGCTAGCCCTTCGGGAGGCAGCTGCTGGCTACGTAAGGCCTTCTTCCCAAGGTCTCACAATCTTGGGAAGGGAAGGGAAGGGAAGGGAAGGGAAGGG